GATCGCGAAATGCGTTTCTGGAGACCCGTTGATTTCTAGGAATTTTAGACATTTCTGTTATCTCAACATCATTTTACCAGTCAGCATGAAGCCGAGGTTTAGGTCATCTAAAACACTCAAGTAATGCTCTAGCTAAAGTTTAGTTTTTTTTATCTCTCTTTGTACATCTATAATGCACATAAAGAAGGCCTTCTCTTATTAAATAAAATATGTCAATAAAAAGATTTACTATTTTTTTTTTCACATATTTAGCCTATTTACGCAAGTTTGGCCTAAGTATCCATTTCTTGATACCTCAGGAATCCTCTGGGACCAAAATATTTTGATCGTAGAGGAACATGTAGTACATATAGTGATGTAAACAAGTTGTCTCTATACATACTATGAGAACTAAAATGTTTATTCATTTGACATTTTATTAATATTGTGATATCTTAAGACTCTCTCTATCCGAGTGATGTTTTATTCAAGTTTATTTTAGAATGGTCAATTTATTTATATCTTTTTGATCCCCCTTATCACAAGCCATCTTAAAATCTAAACTGTAACACTTCATTGGCGTCTATTGAGGAATTTCTGATGTCCTGGTAACCCAACAATGAACTATCGCAGAAACCGCTGAATTCCCGCCGGGCAAGGAACAAGTTGGGGAGTTCCTGTACAAAACAGGCCTGGTACTATATCAGGGACAGTGGTACTGCCCCGTGGCTACATTGAGCTAAGCACAGCTGCCACATGACGTCTACATTCAGTATCCGGCTCCTTCTATCTGAGTAACCGCTGATCTCCGTCAGGTGAGGAACTAGCTGGGGTTCCTATACAAACAGACCTGGTACTGCATTCGAGTCAGCGCCATTGCTCCGTGGCTACGTTCAAGCTAAGCACAGCTGCCACATGGCCTGGACGTCTTCATTCTATAATCCGGCTTCATCGACCTTATACACGCTGATCTCCACCGGGCGAGGAACAAGTTGGGGGTTCCTATACATACATGCCCGGTACTACATCAGAGACAGCGCCGCTGCTTCGTGGCTGCGTTCAAGCTGATAAATGTCCTGGATGTCTTCATTCTTTAATCTGTATTCATCACCAGTATACGCTGATCTCCACCAGGTGAGGAACAAGTTGGGGAGTTCCTATGCACCAAGGCCTGGTACTACATCAGAGACAGCGCCACTGCTTCGTGGCTACATAAAAGCTAAGCACAGCTGCCACAAGGCTGGGACGTCTACAATCTCTCTCTCGGAATCTACGAAATCGCGACTCTACATCTATGTCCAGAGTCTACAGGCTCTCGCGTCACACACCAAGTCCGTACACTCAGTGACATTTGGATTGCTGTTCCGGATATGCAAATATTGTAATGGATCATATATGGAGGAGTATGATAATCATAATTCATCAAAATGATCACGTCTTTTTCACCGCAAGCATTATATTCAGAATTTCCCGATAATATCATCATCAAGAATCTACATCTATACGACAATACCAACTCTATATACATACCATCAACATCTACATAGCTACACTCTCCTTCAGCACCAACTCTACCTACATTCCATTAACATCTACATGAATACATCTCCAGTTACACAAAATCTACATACATTCCATCAACATTTACATAATTACATCTACAGTTACATCAATCCTGCCCACATTCCTTTAACATTCACATAATGGCATATATTTACATTTACACAAACTCTACACGCATTCCACTAACATCAACATATTTACATATACATCGAAATCACTCTACACACATTCCACCAACACCACATGTACAGATAACCGACCTGTTTGAATGAATCTGGCTTTCTCTTTCTTTTTCAAGAATCGCTACCAGCCTCTCTAGCCTCAACCCAACAGCCCTCTTCTGAAGTCTCCTTGTTCTTCGCTTTCTACATCCTCTACAGAACCGACTCACCTATAATGACTGGATCTCCAGATAGAAGCTCAACAAGCTCTCTACAAACCCGATGATATACTATCAGTGATTGATTTTATAATTCAAGACGCAAATACATTGATGCCTTTATCCTATAACTCCAAAACATAAAGAAGAAATTGCTGGCAGGTGCCTATGCCGCAAAGCTCCAATCAGTTTAACCTGAAATCAATTATTAAATACAAACGGAATATTTTCTGAAATTCTACTGGAATAGATCACTGAACGCAAAACACATTCTCTGAAACCTTGGTGTTTCTGATATAAGGAAATTCAGCTGGATGATTCTCTTGAGAGATGCTTAGAATTCCTAAATTTTTGATATTTCAAATCGTTAATTAAATAATTGCGCAAAAAGCTCTTGATCATGAGAAATAAATAAAACAATTACTTATAAATTCAATAAATTATATATCATACATTGTGGTTTCATGAAAGGTCATATAGAATTTCACATCGGCTACATTGATATTTATAATATTTTCTGAAAATTTGAGAGTAATGGTTTATATATTTGTATTGAAAATAGAGCAATCCATATTTAAATCATTAGATAATAAAGGCCTATATTGGATTTAATAAAATATTTATTTGCCAATATTTCGGTTGGCTGAACGCCAAACCTTTATCAGGGCAAATGTACAAATACAAAAATGTAATGCCTTGATAAAGGTTTGGCGTTCAGCCAACCAAAATATGGGCAAATAAATCTTTTATTAAATCCAATATATGCCTTTATTATCTAATATATTTGTATGTGAAAGAAGTTTTCTGAATTTAGCATCTGTGGAAACTAAGCCATTATCACTATTATGAATCATGTTATAAAGAAATGAAAATTTGTTAAAGCCTCGTTTTTCTTTCATAATAAAACACTTTCTTCACTTTTATAACTTTCCAAGGAGGTTGGCCAATTTAATCCACCATACCGATTTTTTTAGAAGCTCCATTATTGTATTGGAAGATTAAGATTATATATTTGACGTTGTAAGAATGAACCTAGGTTATGGTATTTAATCAAACAATGCACGTAAACATCGATAAAAATAGCATTACATCTTTCAAGATTACAGAGTCAACAACGATTTAATAGCTTTTTAGGCCCTAGTGATTTAATTTCAAATAAGGACACATATATAAAATTTAATTTCCTTTGTAAATATATTTTGGATTTCATTAAGAAAAATGGTCTTTGATGTAACGATCTCAAGGAAATATTGGACATATTATATGGTTGTAAACAATATATAGGTGTATGCGTATATATGTGTGTATATATGTATATATTTTAAATTTAATGATGTAACTGTAAATAAAATTCAAAGAATATCTCTATATGTAAATAATATTTATGAATCTTTCTAAGTTACTTTCTGTGTATCTTTCCATGTTGAATATTTTCTTTGTTATATTTGTATGTGCATTTAGCGCAAGTGTCCCTAGGGGGACATAGCGCTTTGAATTGAAATAAATAAATGTAGATATTTGTATCGAGCAATGCTCTTCTGTAAACCGTTGAAACAAGAACAGCTATATACAATGATGGGTCAATCAGTAATGTACAATCCCCCCAGCAAAATATATAAATACAGTTAAACCTACAATATAATATAATGCGGTTTGTGATTGTAAAACGACATTCGAAAATTATCCCGCATGTGTTTCTTTTCAACGAAAAATTAAAATTTATTCCAAGGAGAAATAACGATTATTTCCAACCCCAGGGATGAGGTATGAATGGATTAATTGTGAAGAGTAATGATAAACGGAAAAATAAAAGTGTCCAGGGATGGGAATCGAACCCACAGTGTTCCGCTTACCGGGCAGATGCCATGTCCACTAGGCTACCCTGGTCATATTTTTCCGTTCGTAAATAATACTAAAGTAATTTATAATACAATATAATGCGGCTTGTGATTGTAAGACGACATTCGAAAATTATCATTACACTTCACAATTCATCCATTCATACCTCATCCCTAAGGTTGGAAATAATCGTTATTTCTCCTTGGAATAAATTTTGATTTTTCGTTGAAAAAGAAACTCATGCGGGATAATTTTCGAATGTCGTTTTACAACAGTTAAACCTATCTATAGCGCCCCCTCTAAATAGCGCCTTCCTCTCTATAGCGCCCGATTTTAAATACGTAGTACAATGCGATTTACATAAAAATTGACCTGTCTATAGCACCCTATTTTGGTGAGTCCAAAGAGAGGACGCTATAGACAGTTTTAACTGTAATTTAATATTAAAAAATAATGTTTTCTAGTGAATAAAACACTCTGCTTTTCATATCTGTAATCAGAATTGATTTATCTTTTGTATTTATTCTGATATGGAGCCTAATGTGAACACAAGAATTCGACAACAATCCTAACCTGGCTCCTTCCGACTTCTACCTGTTTGGTAAATTAAAGAATTCTCTAGGCGGTAGTACATTTGAAAATGATTAAAAATGTTATTCCATGAGGTTAGAGATTGGTTCAGAAAGCAAGATGTAGCATTTTACCAAAGTTCTGAGTTGGAAAGAACACTGGACCAAATGTGTACAGAGGGGATATATTGAATGATATATAGCTAATAGTTAGGTATTCATATATACAATATGTTTATGGTTTGTCAAATTAAAAAATCATTGATGATTGTGCATTACTTATTTACCCAACCATGTATATATTAAGCATAAAAGAGGCAATAACGCTTCATATAAATACTCAAAATATGAAACTATTAAAGAACGAATTTTTATTTTCAATTAAAACATGTATTATGAAAAAGGGCATCTCCTTATCGTGCAACTGAAAGTTGCTGATGGCTTGCGCCATCTATCGGAATAAATATCAACTATTCTACTCTGAACACTCGGATTTTCCTGGAAAATCTCTTAAAGATTTCTTGAAAAAAGCCATGGTCCACCTGTGCTGTGTGAGCAGAAGAGCTTAAATTGACTGTTCCATTATATGTATGTTCCATATGTAAATACCTGTTTTTTTCTCTTTTCGCTCTCCACTTCTTCCATCCATATTTCCAAATCCATATTCTTATTTTCCATAGGATCATTCAAATAACAATCTGTATATATTTATCATGTGTATATAATCTTTCTCCATTTTTACCCCTTTGTATATTTCCCACTTCCATAGGTTTCTCCGTCTTGTAACCCCAAGGAGAATCCTCTGTAAGACCTGTGTGTCTTAATAAAGGTTTTTGTGTGTGTGAATATAAACTATTCTCGTTGATTTTTAATTATTCCAGAATTGGCCAAATGTATGTGTGCGTTTCTAACCAAAACTGCGATAAAAAAAACACATGAAATGGGTGAATCTGCACCTAGATCTATGTTGTATTGTTACAATGACAAAATATTCTACACAAAATGGTGGTCAATTTGCATAATCTTTGCTATTATTTATTTATCAAATCGGACGCGATATTCCCACAAGGGGATGCTTGCGTCAAGAAACAACACCAAACACTGTATTACATCAACATATTAGAGAAATGAAGTAGAATTTTACTTACCCCATCACAGCTGTTCAAAAGATTTGCTGACGCGATGACAAATATATGTGATATGATCAGGTTTTATTTCATACTATGAGTAATGCTTTCTATGATATTTATAATATAAATTTTTTATTAATAATCATTTTCTTAATATTTTATCATATGATGCACTAGCACGCCATCTGTTATCAAAATTCGAAACTATTTTAAACACGTATGATTCTTTTTGAAATTTAATAATTTCTACTGCCCTTACTGCAATGGAAAAATTAATGGGAGGGCCTGACTCAGGGTGATGAACTCCCCATTAAACTGGCGAAACCGCTGGGAGGGTTCACCACTGATGAGCCAGGCCCTCCCATTAATTTTTCTATTGCAGCAAGGGCAGTAGAAATTGTTTAATTTCAAAAAGAATCTTACGCGTTTAAAATAGTTTCAAATTTTGAAATTTTTATCATATTATCAAAAACATGAGAATTAGTTCTTTCAATGAAACAGGTCTACAATGATAGCCAGTCTCAAAAAAGATATTGTGTTTTACACTAATAAGACTAAATCACAATGTATATGTGCAAATAAGGTTTTTCTCAAATATTTTGAAATTTGTTTAATGTGAATTAAATACGATGAAACACTAATTTGCAAGTTATTATATTTAAATAAATTATATTTTTCTTATATACATATCTCTATTCAAATATTTTATGTAATTCTAATATATTTATATCTCTATATATATAAAAATGAATGTTTGTCTGTCTGTATGTCCGGTATACAAATTCGCAGTAGTTCACTAATTCAAACCAAAATTTCCATACATAGGTAAAAGAATACGGGGAAGACGATAGGCTATTTTAAAAAATATATAAATCAATTATTAAAACTATATATTTTTAGTCAGAAAATGATGATGACGATATTGCTGTATCATGTTTGATTATCAGATACAAAATTATATCGGGAAAAATTCCAAAAAGCAGAGACCACGGGTGAAACCAGTTCATTATTTTGTATGCAGGAACAAAATTCTAACAGAAAAACATTCATTCAAGCAGAAAACAAAAGCCAGATCATCTTTCTATAAAAATATCGCTTCTCAGACACAAAGTTTGGAGCGGGACGTTTCACAAGAGTGACATCCACGGCGCCAATTTATAATTGTAACGAATAGTATTTGAATAGGGTACATTTAATAGGGTAAAACCCGGGCGTTGCCCGGGTCATTCGGCTAGTATATATATATATTGTAACGTGGTTAATTTATTTACATAATTTTGATTGTAATGATTTACATAGTTTTGAATTAGACATAGCTATATGAATGCACGTAAATATAATTTTAAGGTTGACAGTTAAAGAGAATAAAGTCCGTTCGTGTTTCCTCTCCTTGCATTTATTTTTCAACGCGACAATAAATATTACCTTTTAAGAGAAAAATACACCTACTTATCTTGCAACTGATAGTTGCTGATGGCTGGCGCCATCTATCGTAATAAATATCAACTATTCGTTGATTTTTAATTATTACAGAATTGGTCAAATACCTATTATTGATTAATCAAGAAAAGCTAACCACGGACGCGTTTTGGGCTTTTGGTCCTCGTCAACGTAGTGCAAGCTGTATCTCAACGACCAAAAAACTTGTCATTAAGACATCCTGAAAAATCATGAAACGGGTAGTACAATTATACATTTGTACTATTTTTTCACATATATACATTTTATGTATTATGATGCACTAGCGCGCCATCTGTTATCAAAATTCGAAACTATTATAGACGCGTATGATTCTTTTTAAAATAAACAATTTCTACTGTCGTTACTGCAATGGAAATTGTTTATTTTAAAAAAGAATCATACGCGTCTATAATAGTTTCGAACATTTTATTTTTTAAAAATAAAGATCACCAAATTCAGTTATAGGATCGGCTGCTATGAGGAAGATGTGTTGACATTTCAAGACGGTCTGTCGTCCAGAAATAGGACCTCGTTGTGCCAAGTTCCAGCTTGGAAATCCGCCATGGAATGTATGTCTGATTCCTCACTCTCGAAATCTCATGAACCTCTAATATACTTTCTCTTTTCCCTATGCTTCACCTAGTTCAAAACACAGAGAAATGGTCGGTGGAAGGATGATCTAAACCGTTGGTTTTTAACCGCTATGACCCGGGACTTGGGCACTTTTTTATAATTAAAAAAAAAAAAACTCTAATGCATTCTTGCAAAAGTCCAATTGACGATATAAAACCGTCCCTAAATTTCTGGTGGCGCGCGCTGCCTAAATTTAATACATATAATTTATTGTAGAACGACCTTTGAAATTTATCCCACATGTGTTTCTTTCAAACGAAAAATCTAAATTTTTTTTCCAAGGAGAAATAACGATTATTTCCAATCTTAGGGATGAAGTATGAAAGGATGAATTGTGAATATTAATGATAAACGGGAAAATAAAAGTGTCCAGGGACGGGAATCATTACTCTTCACAATTCATCCTTTCATACTTCATCCCTAAGATTGGAAATAATCGTTATTTCTTGTATTTCTTGTTATTGGCGATTTCTAAGAATTTCTTAACAACGAATATCCATTCGTTTCTGTATAAAAAATATGTAAGCAATATAGTTACCCAGAAATTATTTGAAAAGGTAAAAATAAACATCACTGGACACACATTCAATCTCAAACAAGCAATAGCCCATTACCACGACATAAAAAGCAAGCAACAACGATCAAGAATCTTCAAGAATAAATATCATCAATAGAAAAATTGACCTCCCAACCCAATATAACAATATCCCTGACAAATTATCTAAATGCGTAGTAATAATTATTGGAATGTATATATATTACATCCCATTATAATATCTATTACTTTAGCTGGAAACAGTCTGATGCACGCCCACACAAGCCAATAACAAAAGTTTTCAAATATTTTGTAAAAATATTATTTAGAGATTGTACATAGAGTATTAGCCCGTTGAAGAGCAGTATAATTGCTCAAAAGCTTGCAAATTAAAAATTAAAAGAAACTTTTTACCTGGTATTTATTTTTACTTTTTCAAATAAAAAAATATAATTACAGTTACAGAATTATAGTTAATACTTTGAAAGGTATCTACCGAGACATGCCCAAATATGGCATTTAATGGCATAGCTGCTTTAAAAGTGGGAAAAAGAAGTTAAGGCTAAAGTGATACCAGAGTATTATTTTCAACACAATATTTTATTATCTATTATGGATTGCTCTAATTTTCAAAACGCTTATTAATGTAGTGGCGCGCGCGCTACCCAAAATTTAATGCAGATGATTCTTGAAAATATTTTTGTCTGGTTCGTTTTTTTA